AAAAGTTAGTTTGAACTGTAGACAAAAATAAACAATGTGCCAGGTAAGAGAGAAGCTTTTCTCATTTTCCTTAAAGGTTACCTTTTTAAAATATCACATGCATCTCGATTTCATTTTGTGATGATCAATACATTACAGGGGGTGTATCCGGGGGGGGCCAGGGGGGGCCTACTTTTTTCCCATAACTTACACTATAGAAAATGTGAATTGAAAGCCTGGTGGGTCCCCCCTACTTTTAGAAATGTACCGAAAATGTAGTAGAAGAATTTGGTACTAAAAGTAGTTGACACTGAGTAAAAGTTTAAAGTTTACCTACACCCCCCCCCCCCCCCCTAATAGGATATTTGAACTTGTGTCAACTTTTTTCAGGTAAGTAAAAAAATTTTTTCTCTGCCTGGCCCCCCCACTTTCAAAAACGATGCTACGCCACTGCATTATGGTACATTTCTTGCACATTGTGTACATCTTAGGACATAATATATGATTGTGTGAATTTTTAGCAATTTGAGTGACAACAAAACAATCAGGAAGACCCAGCAAAAAGGAAGTCTGAGGCTGAAAATGCATCAACTTAGGTCAGTCGCGACCGAGATTCGAACTCACGATCTCCCGATCACATTTAGCGAGTGCTCTACCGACTGAACTAAAATGAACGGTAAGATTTTTAGAAGAATAGCCTGCGTGAAAGTTGAATGTATTTGTGCATGGCTTCTCGATGATGAAATGTGAAGATGATGAACAGCAATCAAGCTCAAAGTCCAGTTATTAATAAAACTTGAGAGCAGGACGAAGAGAAAGGTAGAATCAAGTGCCATGGAGAAGTAAGCATGCCCTGAAACAACCATCGTGTGCTCTTTGTTATGTTCGATAAAAAGGATAATAAATATATACAAAATCAGTGTGATACTAATGACTCAACAGTTTTTATTAAAGGCGTTAATGAATATTCGACTTCACTGCAGATTGTATCTGCAAACAAAATCATTGTAGTTGTATTGACCATTAGATTTGCAATATGTTTTTTTCAAATGAGATTTTTGATGTCTTTGTATCATCAGCTTACGCTCTTGTGTATATATATATCCAATAAACTAGGAGGCATATACGTTTAGTAAGGAAGTATTTGTCACATACATAAGGGAAGTTGAAAAGAGAATAATTGAAGTCAACATGTTTAGTTTTAGTTTGCCTTGTACGTTTTTAATTAGATACATTTAAATATAAAACAGATGTGACAGACTCTTTAGTTGTCTTTTACTTCTAGTTCTGTGAGATGTAACAAATTAACGCAGGGGTGACTTGGAATTAATAAAATACTCATAGAGATAAAGTGTTTTTAAAACTATTCCACCAAATTTTCACTGAAAAATTGTCATCGATATATTGAAAGCCACAGCAAGAAACTTTTTTCTTTTTGAATAAATTTGCTTCTAAAGAATACAAAACAGGTCTAACAATGGGACATGTTAAAAAAAAACTTTACAAATTATGGGAATATTCCATCAGAATGTCGGAAGACCCGGTCTCCAACGATTGCATTAGAGAGACACTGTTCATGAATCACCAGGGTCATAAACTTTGAAAATTTAGCTAACCTGAGCTTAAAGCTCAAGTGAGCTTTTCTGATACCCTTTGTCCGTCCGTCTGTTCGTAAACTTTTAACATTTTTAGGCCAACTGAGTAAACTCAGGTGACCTATTGCCATCTGTTTTCGTCCGTCGTCGTCCGTCTTCCGTTGTGTGTTTGTGTGTTAACATTTGAACATTTTCAGCTTCTTCTCTGCAACCGCTCTACCAATTTCAACTAAATTTGGCACAAAGCATCTATGGGTGAAGGGGAAGAAAAATTATGAATTTCATGGTCCCAGCCCCCTGGGACCTGAGGGATGGGGCCAAAAGCACTAAAATTAATGCAATCTTTAAAAATCTTCTTCTTTACTCCTGGACATCAAGCAGCCAAACTGTTGGCATGATTATAATCAGCATTGAGTCCCCAACCTAAATTGTGAAATTCATGGCCCATGGGTGAGGGGCTCTAATGCTGGGGCGGGGCTAAATAGATCATATAGTGAAAATGCATAAATTTTTGAAAATCTTCTTCTCTGCTCCTGGGCATTAAATAAACTAACCAAGTACACAGTTATGTTGAATAAGGTTGCCTCTACCAAAATTTTGAAATTCATGACACTTGGGTCAGGGGTTCTAGTGCTAGGGCGCGGCTCTATTGATTGTATAGTGAAATTGCATAAATTCTTTGAAAATCTTCTTCTCTGCTCCTGGGAATAAAATAAACTAACCAAGTATTTAGTTATGTTGAATAAGACTGCCTCTACCAAAATTGTGAAATTCATGGCCCCTGGGTCAGGGGTTCTGGTGTAAGGGTGGGAATCTATTGATTATGTTGTGACATTGCACAAAATCTTTGAAAATCTTCTTCTTTGCTCCTGGGTATAAAATAAACTAATCAAGTACAAAGTTATGATGAGCAAGAATGCCTCTTTCAGAATTGTATTGTGAATTTCATGGCCCTAGGGTCAGTGGATCTGGTGTTAGGGCGGGGCTCTATTGATTATAGAATGAAATTGCATAAATTCTTCAAAAATCTTCTTTTCTGCTCCTGTGTATTAAATAAACTAACCAAGTACAGTTATGATGAGCAAGAATGTCTCTTTAAAAATTGTGAATTTCATGGCCCCAGGGTCAGGGGTTCTAGAGCTAGGGCGGGGCTTTAAAGATTATAAAGTGAAAATGAATTTTCTTTGAAAATATTCTTTTCTGCGCCTGGGTATTGAACAAATGAACTATGTACAAAGTTATGAGGGAAAAGGGTGCCTCTTTGAGATTTGTGAATTTTAGAGCCCCTTGATCAGGGCTTCTTCTGTTAGGGCAGAGCTTTAATGTTTTTATATTGAAAATGCATGAATTCTTTTAAAATCTTTTGCTTTGCCCCTGGATATTATGCCAATGATCTAAGTACATATTTATGATGAAGAAAGCTGCCTCTTTCAAAATTTCCGGGCCCCTGGGTCAGAGGTATTTGAAGGATGGGGGGAGGGTACATATTCTTAAAATAAATTAATGCTTTGAAATCTGCTTTTTGGTATTAATCAGCAATTTATGATGAAATAAAATTGATGATAAAATTTCCAAAATTTTGAAATATGTGGCCCCAGGGTCAAGGGTTCCTGTAGGATGGGGTGCACAACTGGTTAGAAAGTGGAAATGCATTTTCTCTTTGTTACTTTGATTTACCTCTGGGTATTAAGTTTCCAAAATAAGCATGCTTATTGTATAATTATTATAAGCAATGGTGCCTCTTTCAAAATTGTGAATTTCATGGTCTCTGGATTAAAACACAAATCAAATTCAATTGTTGGAAAGTTGTTACGGGATACTCAGGTGACCCATAAGGCCCGTGGGCCTCTTGTTTCAACTTATTCTCAAGAACCACTGTTCTAAGCTTAACCAAACTTGGTACAAAGGTTTCTTTGGGTAATAGGGAAGTTTAAATTGTTAAAATGAAGGACATTGTCCCTCACATACAATGAGAGATAATCTTGAAAAGACAGAATTAAAGTAGGGTCATTAAAAATCTTCTCGAGAACCACTGGGACATGAAAGCTGAAACTTATGTCGAACCATCCTGGGGTAGTGTAGATTTTAAATTGTTCAAATCATGACCCTCGGGGGTAGGGTGGGGCCACAATAGGGAATCCAAGATTAACATTGAAATATAAAGGAAAAATCTTTAAATTTTTTTTTCTCTCAAGAACCACTTGGCCATAAAAGCTGAAACATATGTGGAAGCTTTGTGGGCTAGTGTAGATTTTAAATTGTTCAAATCATGACCCCCAGGGGTAGGGCGGGACCACAATAGGCAATCCAAGTTTTAAAATGAAATAACGGTATATTATAGGAAATTATTTTTTTAATCTTCTCAAGAACAACTTGGCCAGAAAAGCTGTTACCTCTGTATATCCCATAACTAAGAACCAATTGATACTAATTTTGTTTCACGGGTTACAACATCTTTTATTGATAAACCGTTGTATTTTTCTAAAAGACAGCCCAAATCAGGTTGGGGGGGGGAGCAAAAAAGAATATCTTGTCCTTTGAAAAGAGAAGATAAAAAATGTTTTCATTAAAACATTTTCTCTTAGAATGAAAATATAGTTGTGAAAGACGTAGATGCGTATATCCTGATTCCCGACCAAAAACTTCAGTGTAAGGAGCTTTTTTTTAAAACTATAGATTAACTACAAATCATACTGGTATGTACAGTGAAACCTGTCTAATCCGGGATGTACTTGGAGACGAATCCTGTGTCAGAATAGTCAAGGTGTCGGATTGCACATTGTAAAGAAACAAGGAAAATAGTGAAATGGGACAGAAATTTAACTTCGGAATTCACAATGTGATGGATTGCTTAAGTGTCGAATTAGACAGTTTTCACTGTATTTTGTTTGTATACGGTTAAATAGCTCTCTCATTTAACAACGTGGCATTTTTTCAGGATTTGCTATTTTCACACTTTACAACTTATGTACATGTAATAGCCATTTCTAAGAAATAAGCATATAATATTTGTAATTTTTCGAATAAAACAAGATGTGTTTGTGAAACACTGCTGTCCCCGTATTGCTACTAAAGTCGAAGGTTGACGTTTTTCAAATGCAATCAAAGTCAAAAGGTAAAAATTGTTGGTATCCAAGAAAAGCTCTGTCACAAGGAATACACATGTCAAATATGAAAGCCCTAGTTCTACCTGTTCAAAAGCTATGACCAAGGTTAAAGTTTTTTTTTAAAGTGAGAAAACTCTAAGGTTAAGGTCAAAGATATACAGCTGTATTCATACATGTTCATAGGGCTTTTCACAATGAATACACTTTTCAAGTATGAAAGCCCTAGCACCAGTTGTTTTCCTAGCTTGCATCAGAAGTATTCCCTGATTTATACGTGCTGTACTGAAAAATGGACCCGTCAAATAATCGGATGCTTTGTGTTACCCTTAGGCATAAGTCCAAAAATCGACTCTGTTCTATCGTATAATGCAAAAGATCCCCCTCCATGTCCCGCATTGAGAGTCTAACTAACGAGTATCTTTAGTTGCTTAAACTTTTGCGTTTGGTGGGCAAAATATGCTAATTTAAAGCATTCTTGGTCTGCAACTCTAAAAACTTCTCATACAACACCGAGTGATGTTGTCGAAAGGAAATTTCCGCATTATGCATTTAGACCTAATGTTCTCTCGTGAAAAATACGAATGCAATCGAGGAAATTATCAACAGTTTGTTAATACTCACAAGCAGTTCATATACATGTAGTATGGGAGAAATATTCAGCTTAGTAATAGTTTTTGAGGATATATAACAATGATGGTATGATGGCCTTCATATTCATTTTATTTTATATTGTAGTACCTTTATATATCAATACTTTATTGTTGCAATTATTGATAATGTTAAAACACTTCAAAATAAAAAGAAGGACGTTGACAGAAAATCTTGTCTCAGACAGAATATATATATACTCTAGCTAAAAATTTATTTTTCCCTGTATGTCAGGGGAATACACAAACTACCGGGGTATAAAAATCGTCATTATTTTGTAATTACTGTACAAAAAAGCTTTAATTTGCGGAACTGACATCTCATATACAGAAAGATTTTTTTCTAAAAAGTAGATACTCATCATCTTACATATAATATTGGGAGATATAGGACTAGGTTTTCTTACTGACGAAACCTAAGTCAATTAATAGATAAGGTGCTCTATACCAGGACAGAAAACAAACTTTGTCCTGACCATGCTTCGTCGTTAAATTTGACCAGTATAAAAATGTATTTTAGATGGACCATAATGACACTGTGGAATCCCGACTTGAGGAATGGAACGGGCATATGGCCCTCGTTTTTATCCCAGCAACAGCATTTCTAGCGCTGTGTTTTGTGGTGGGAACTGTGGCTAACCCAACAGTAGTCTTGTTCGTCTTGTTTCGGATGAAGAGTTCTAGAGACGATCGCTATTTTATTCCATTTCTTTCCTTTGCTGATCTCCTAGGATTGACATTAAATTGCTTTGGAGCTTGGCTGCAGTATTTTCCATATGTTCGCGACAACGAAAGTCTGTTCATTCCTTGTAAATTGTATTGGTTTGGCAGCTCAAGCATCGCGTCTTTTTCAGCATTTATTTTGATTGCTATCGCTATTCAAAGATACCTTAAAATTTGCAGACCACATGGGAAACAGATGGATCTGAAAATCAGACGTCTGTATTTAGCAGTGGCGTTATGTATATCAGCTATTATCGCATTTCCATTTACATTATTTTACGACATGACACCAATAGAAAGTCCTGTATATAACGTCACTGGGTACATTTGTTCACGTGGGCAGAGCAAGTGGCTAAACAACGAACCTGTCATATACAGCGTTACTATTGCATCCCTTGTGTTTATTAACATTCTTCTTTTAATGATAATCTATTGTTCGATAGGAAAAACTATTTACAGACAAACGCGTTTAAAGAATAGACGAAAACTGAGCGCCAAACGCAGAATGGGAAGAATTAATTTCGAATCAAGTCTCGATGTGGATTCGCTAAACGAACGAGAAAACGTGACTTTAAAAAATTGTCAAGCTGATGATATTTCAGAATATTCCGATTGGACATTGGACAGACGAGGAAACAATAAGAAAAGATTCGTTGGATCGGAGATGTCTACTTTGCCAGAATGTCCCACAGGGAATTCCTTTGACCTCGACAAAATGAGAGACGTCCGAGGTAAAACAAAGTCGCTGCAGCATTATCGACATCTCCGAAAAAGGGTCGATCGGTTTACTTGGATGTTCCTTATAATGACAATGGTGGCCATGGTCAGCTATGTTCCTAGAGCTACTCTACTTATGTTTGAGTCGCTAGACTCCCGATTTTGGTTAAGTTTCTCAGACTTTTGGAGAGGTATTGTGGAGGTAGCTTACCGTCTGCATGCGCTGCATCACGCGTGCAATGCTTTGATATACGGGTATTTTGATACACGTTTTCGCGCCGAGGTTAAAAAGTTCTGTAGACGGGTGTCTGAAAGATAAAGGAAGTACCTGCTGTGATGTAAAGTTACAGTATATAATGAAGGATTTTGATTGGACATGTCTACATGAATACATGCCTCTTAATCAGACATTTTAGACGGTGGCTATATATAGCCACAGGCTATTGCTGCTGGTCTGTGTAAACACACGGGGACCCTAGCGGCGATTTTTGCAGAGTCAAAAACACTGCGACATTTAAGTCCGGACACGACAAAGTCCGGACTTTTAGGTACCCTTTCGAAAAGACCTACATTAGATTTTTTTCTATATTTTGGTGGGATTTTTTATTCTGACCTCATCATGTCAATCTCAACTTCCACATTGTAGTAGTTTTCTCATAAACCTCTGTCAAAACCTAAAATCCCATGGGAGAATGGCGGGATTTTTCATCCCACCAAAAATCCCACCAAAATCCCATGGGAGAAAAAAATCTTTGAGGGATTTTTTCTCCCATGGGATTTTTTCTCCCATAAAAGGCGACATAGGATTAAAAATCCCATATTTGCCCTTCTTAGGATTAAAAATCCTGCAAAGTACATAATACTGGGTATTTTTAATCCCATGGGATAAATAAATAAGCAGATATGGGAATAATGGGATAAGAATGCAATGTCTGAATATCCTTTATGAAGCATTTTATCTTCAATTATATACAAATTCAAATTATATACCCATTGTTAAACTGCTTTTGTAGAGCCATTTTAATTAAAGTGAGGGTCATAAACAAATACTATTGCCAGAGAAAACTCAACCAAATGACTTGCCAAGAGAAGAGGAGTGTCTGAGATACTGATTTTTATTTGTTAAGAAAAAGTACAATCAACCGAAAGGGGACTTAAATTTGTGCTAGTGACACTGTCTTATCTTTGTTTGCATACAATACTGAAATCTCCTGATTCTGCTGAGTAATGACCAGTTTCCAAAACTGCTTCCTGATGGAAAAAACTGCATTAGTGGGAATCTTCTGTATACACTTGGATGGACAGCAATTCTTCTTTTTAAAAAACTATAATAAAAAAATCCTTTGATCCACCACAAATATTTTAAAATAAAAAATTTACTCCTCAAGGATCCACCACTAATGTAAGTTAAGACCATGATCACACATGGCATATAAGCTTAATGTTGAAATCAGTTAGCCATAATCATTTATATCCTTTGATCCACAACAAATATTTAAAAAAAAAATAAAATTAATATCCACTCCCCATGGATCCACCACTTATAAGTTTAGATCTTGATCATACATGACATATAATCGTAATGTTTGAAATCAATTAGCTATAAGCCTATAATCATTAATATCCTTTTACCCATCACAAATACATGTATTTAAAATTAATATCCACTCCCCTTGGATCAACCACAACTACTATATAACATAAATATCCACTCCCCCTTGGACCCATCCCTTTAAAATTAAGATCATGATCAAACATGACATATAAGCTAAATGTCTGATATAAATTAACCACAATCATTGATCATTAATATTCTTTGATCCTGCACCCACCACAAATATTTAAAAAAGATTAATATCCACCCCCTTGGATCCACCACTTATAAGTTTAGATTTTGATCACACATGATATATAAGTTAAATGTTTAAAATCAATTAACCATAAACATCACATGATCATTATTGATTCCTTTGACACATTACAAAATTTAATATTTAAAAATATATCTATCCACCCCCTTGGATCCACCTCAACTATCAAAACAATTACTGGTGAAATATACATGCCTTTGATCCATCACTTATCACACAAAGAAAGGTTACTTAAATGTTTAAATAAATGTGCAATAATAATTAGTATATGCCATGATGATCTACAATAAGCATGATAAGTAATTAAAAATTCAATATCAACTCCCCTTGGATCCACCACTCATAACTTTGGACCATGATATCACATGACTTATAAGCAAACTGTTTGAAATCAATTAGCCATAATCAAAAAGATAAAGCCTCTTAATTAGATCAACCTACAAATAACTCATTTTGATTTGTCTGGGGTAAATGTGAAATTCAAAACCATGCAATAAACAAAGGAAAATATTGGAACCCATTCCCTTTAGATCCACCATCCTGTCTTTTGGATATTGATCACCAATCTGATTTATTCTCTTTATCTTTTAATCATTATGTTGGGTATCTTCATCATCTTTATGAATGAATATATAAGAATGAAATTTAATTACATCTCGTAAATTTAATTACATCCACCTATGTGTGATTTATTAGAGAAAAGGAGTTCTCATCAAAGAATGCAAATATATGAAAACAACGATTATTTAGTGAACATGGCGTATGACAATTTTGGCATATTTTCAACGCATCAAATTCAAGTGTAATTTAGCCATGTTAAACGTTGTTTATTTGATTTTAAAGCTTATTCTCCTTATCTTTTAATCATTATGTTGGGTAACTCTTTATGAAAATATATAAGAATGAAATTTAATTACCACCTATTAACCGGCAAAAAAAAAACCCAGGTACATGTAATGAACATGATGAAATAAGACATTTTTATCAATGCATTCAAAGCTTAATACTACAGTGCTTTATTTACCACTAGTTAGTTTTTGAAATGTATCCCTATCACCATGATCACATCCATCAGCTTGACTATTAAAACTACATTGGATAACAAATCAATTAAGTTTTTACATACATTATGTTCACTATAATTAATGTTAGAATTTATATGTTGGAAGTGAACAATAATTCTTTATGTTTCTAATTTAGTGTTACTAGGGGTTTTGAAAAAATATCAAATTGTGAAAATGTTTGCATTATTCAAAGAAATATACAAAAACAAGATGTGTTTGTGGAACACTGTGCCCCCACGGCAACAAAGTTTGAAAAATCTATTCTTAGCATAAAGGTTACAGTCAAGGTCACAACGTCATTGACCTCGGTGTCGTTTGAAAGCACTTAACTAGTGAAGTAGGCACACCAAATATCAAGTCTCTATCTCCTATTGTTTAAAAGTTATACCCAAAGTTCGAAAAATCTAATTTTAGCATATAGGTCACAGTCAGGGTCAAAAGGTCATTGTCCTTGGTGTCAGATGAAAGTGCTTAATTAGTGGAGTCTATGCATTTTATATATGAAGTCTCTAGAGGTGTAACAATACCGCAATACATCGATACGTATTATCGCAAGGTCTCATGATACGCATATCGTATCGCCATGTATGTATATACAAACAAGTTAATGTTCTTTGTCTTATTTTAAAATTCTTTATCAAAACTGTGAATATTAATATTACAAAATGATTGAAAACAAGGTTACAATGAAAAATCATAATGCTTAGACTATATGCCCTCCTCTAAATAGCTTTTGAAGGTTGTAAATGCTTTAATCCACATTAAGACGAAAATTCAACTCATTTCTCCACCGTCCTTTCCTCGCTTCATTTTGGGTCTCAAGATAGTTTTCTTTAATATTTTCTATAACTGTAGAGGTTAACAAGCAAGAATACTTAAAGATACCATAAATTTGACTGTTGACAGCTGTATCATGATACATGTTGTATCGCAAGACCATATCGTGATATGTATTGTATCATTAAGATAGCTTGCATACCAAAATTCTATCTTGATCTGTTCAAAAGTTATGGCGAAAGTCAAATAGAACAAGAGGCATTCGAGAGTAACTTGAAGATTTTTTAAAAGATTTGTTGTATATATATTTCTATGTAAAACTATTCCCCATTGTGGCCCCGCCCTACCACCGTAGGGTCATGATTTGAACAATTTAATATCTACACTACTCAAGGATGCTTCCACATAAGTTTCAGCTTTCCTGGCCTAGTGGTTCTTGAAAAGAAGATTTTTAAAAATCTGTTCTATATATTTCTATGTAAAACCTTGATTCCCTATTGTGGCCCCGCCCTACCCCCGGGGGTCATGATTTTAACAATTTAATATCTACACTACCCAAGGATGCTTCCACTTAAGTTTCAGCTTTCCTGGCCCAGTGGTTCTTGAGAAGAAGATTTTTAAAAGATTTTTTCTATATATTTCCATGTAAAATTTGGATTCCCTATTGTGGCCCAAGGATGCTACCCTCGGGGGTCATGAAACAATTTAAATGTATCCCTAAGTCACTTTCCTGGCCCAGTGGTAAAACAAATAGATTTTCTACAGCTAATGTAAATATATTTAATGTTAAATTTATATGTTGGATAGTCAACAATAATTTTTATGTTTCTAGCTTTAAGGTTTTGAAATAAATTTCCATGTAAAATTGTGAAAATTTTGCATTATTCAAATTTAATATATACAAAGGTATTGTGTTTGTGAAACACTGGTTCAAGCAACAAAGTTTGAAAATCTATTCTTATATTAAAGGTTAAAGTCAAGGTCACAAGGTCATTGACCTCAGGATGTCGTTTGAAAGCACTTTCTCAGTGTGGCCCAGTGAGAAGAAGATTTTTATTTGTTCATATATTTTTAAAACTTGGATTCCCTATTGTGGCCCCTACCCCCGGGGGTCATGATACACTAAGTAGGCTACCAAATATCAATTTCTCTATCTCCTATTGTTTAAAAGTTATATTTCGAAAGTTCGAAAAATCTAATTTTAGCATTAGGTCACAGTCAGGGTCAAAAGGTCATTGTCCTTGGTGTCAACAATTTAAATTGCTTAATTAGTGGATGCTATTGCATTTTATATATTGGCCCAGTCTATCTTGATCTGTTCAAAAGTTATGAAAGTTAAAGTTGATAACAAATAGAACAAGCATTCAGAGTATTGCATAAGCAATACATGTCCCCTACCGGGTTCCCCTTTTTCTTCTGGATGTCATTTTATAATATGCAAAAGTCATGTCCAAGGTAAAACTGAAAGATTTTCAAGTTGTAAATGCCTTAAAACTAATAAAATAATCCACATTAAGACGAAAATTCAACTCATTTCTCCACCGTCCTTTCCTCGCTTCATATTTTTGTCGACAATCGGAAGTTAGCGCAGTTCGAATCCGATCTCAATTAAGCGATTATGAAAAAATATTCAAAATGCCCTAATTCTGTCAAAAATCAATGAAGCAAAGCAAAATTCAAACTTGATCTGTAACTCATTAAGATACACTCACATACCAAAATTCAGCTCAATATCTGCAAGCGTTTAGAAAAAAAGTGTGGAAAACCAAGTGGGACAGACTGA